TTCAAGCAAATGCACAAACTCCTCTTAAATGATTAAAATTCTAGAATTTGAGAAAATATTGCTAAGAATCCTTAACATGCCCATAATTGATTTGGCTAGTTTCATCATACATGGACGATAATTAACGTTGGATAAAGAGGATACTTCTCATATTGTTTGTACAAATAGAGCATCGCCACCAGATACCTGGCGATTCATTATTAAACCGAATACTACATCTCATCCATGCAAAACCGGCTGGTGTTCGTATTCAGGACAACAGGTCACTTAACACGAATGTGGTACACTTGGGTACAACTCGTCCTTACAAAAAACCAGCTTACGACCAACGTGCATATTCCGTACCTACCTACCTAGCTAGATGTGGACACTATGCTAACATAACAATCACTTGCCCTAATAAAAGTCTTGGGGGTAAGATTACATGCGAAACTTTCTCTTCACTGGTGTAGGGTGAACCCTCATCTCAGACCACATAATTGTGATAAAAATATGATCGACAACACAAGTAAAGTTGTAAATTTTTAGTCATAAAAGTATGGGAAGGGATGGACCCCCAAAAGGATAACAATTAAACTTTTTGGGATTTTGACTTTGAGAGAGTTGATTTTTTGTTAGTCGCAAAAGTGGAGGAAACGTGGAGATGATGAGGAAGGTGTGGTGGAAGGAGAAGGAAAAAGATTCCGTATTCTTTTTCTAGGGATCTTAGGAATCTCGTGATTAGAACCGTTCATTGTACATCGTGTGGTCAAAAATTATTTTAAAATTTAAAATTAAATATAAATAGTACTTAACGAAAACTGACCATACGATATACAATGAACGATTGTGATCACCAAATTCTTATGATCCCCAGCAAGGATCCTTTTCCCAAGCAGAAAACCAGCAGCAGTTGGTTTGCCACACGTTTTGACTCCAAACTCAAAAGCCCCCCGTGGCAAATATAATTATAAAAAAAAATAATAACTCTGCACGTGAAAGTTGCTTTTAAGTTAGGGGAGTGCGCATATCCTCGGCGTCGAGGATGTTTCCTCGTTGCCGATTCAAGTAGCAAACTGCGGTGACGAATGCGCGGACAGGTTTCTGGTTTCCAACCACTTTCCAAGTAGTGTCTCCGTGATATCCGACTCTCTCTCCCTCTCTCCCTCTCTCCATCCGCAGTCAAGCTCTGTAATTTCCTCGTCCTGTCCATTGTCCAAAGGTAACAGCGCAGGAAAAATATTACTTTTAAACCATATTCAGATACTTAACAACACAAAACACATGCAGAAGCACCTTGATTATAATAATATTGTAATCTTGAGGTTTTTAGTTGTAGTTTATAAGTTGTTAGACCACTTTCGTCCTCCCTTTCAAAATTGAAAACAAAAATATTACTTTTACATGATTTAGATTATCGCACAGTATAATTGATTCAAGCATCATTGTTACAAAATTTTATATATTAGTGAAGTTCATCACGCATGTCATAAGTGGAAGAGTGTTAGGAAGTTTGGCATCTAATTTTAATTTACTCATACTTTTTTTCTATATATATGTGTTTCTTTTAGTTAATCAAAAGAAATGCATCATTTTGGTTGGTTGAATCCTAAATATTATACTAAGTAAACATGAGGACGGAAATAAATACAATTGCTCATGATCAAACTCAATAGTAGAAAATAAGAGAGAATGCAAGTTTTAATTGCAAGTAAAAATAGGCAATTAAAGTCATGTTCGCATTTATTTGCAGTTGGATCGTTGAGACGAAGTTTGAGTTCACATGTTTGTCAATTCGTCAATTGTTTCACATGTTCTTTATGGAGACATGCGATCACTTCTATGGCAGAAATGCTACCACTAGAAAATACGATGTGCCCTATGAAATTTAGCCCGACAAATCACTTTTCGTCGGGTTAAGCTATTTTACTTGACTAATTTTCCAGTTGGTTGGACAAAGTTGGTCAAAATTTAGAGTTTTAACAAAGTCTTTGCATGATGGAAAAATTTTAAAGGGCAAGGACAAAATTATCGGGCAAACATTTGGTGCCAAAAGTAAAAGCACGTAATTTGTAAAGATTTACCCTACGAAAGAGAGGTTCGTCAACTTGAGGTCCTTTACCTGACGACAAATTTTGTCGGGTGTAGTTTTTACCCACAATGACCTGTTAAAAAAAATCTACCAGATTTTTATTTGTTAAATATTTTTTGTTTAATTGTGTGATTAATTAATTTGGTTGTTGTACATTTGTGATTGGTTTGGAAGAAAATTAAAGGAAAGTTATATATTTGTATTTGACTATAAATTATAAATTAGTAAGTTTAATTTCTTTAGTTGTGATATATATATATATATATATATATATATATATAGGGAACTGTTATTAGCACTCCACAAATCTCATTCAACACTCCTCACAAGTGTATTTTTCTTTCTAATTATAGAAAGTTTGGAGTGCAAAATGAGATTTTTGGAATACCAATAACAATTTCCTAGATATATATATATATATATATATATATATATATATATATATATATATATATATATATATATAGGGAACTGTTATTAGCACTCCACAAATCTCATTCTACACTCCTCACAAGTGTATTTTTCTTTCTAATTATAGAAAGTTTGGAGTGCAAAATGAGATTTTTGGAATACCAATAACAATTTCCTAGATATTATATATATATATATATATATATAGGGAACTGTTATTAGCACTCCACAAATCTCATTCTACACTCCTCACAAGTGTATTTTTCTTTCTAATTATAGAAAGTTTGGAGTGCAAAATGAGATTTTTGGAATACCAATAACAATTTCCTAGATATATATATATATATATATATATATATATATATATATATATATATATATATATATATATATATATATATATATATATATATATATATATATATATATGAAGCCTTTAAGGGGAAGGGATCCCTATTTAATTTTTTTTATTTATAAAAATGGAGATTAGTTGTGGAGCCCACATCATCGAACTTTAACGATCTTAACTGTTTATTTTTCAAGTTGTACCTCATAGATCATCCTTGCAAAATATTAGCAAAATCGAAAATATTTAAGACATCTAATTGGCTTCAAAGAAATGAACGAATACTTTGTTATATATGAAACAATGAAATTTGATCTTGATAATTAAATAGGCAAATGGTTTCGGATTGAATTGAATTTTTGCAAGAATGATCTATGAATCGAGATTTACAAAATAGACGGTTCATATCATTGAAATTCGATGTGGAGTCGGCCCCATACCTAGTCCCTATTTTGTGTGTGTGTGTGTGTGTGTGTGGAAACTGTGAATTGTGTGAAAGTTTGAGTTTGTGTGATTGAAATATTTGTAGCTTAGGGGAATTTAAGGTGCGGCACTAGCCTAGGAAATCATGGTGTGAAGTTTATTAAAGTTCATAACCGTTTATACGAAGTTAATTATCACTATTACAAAAAATACTTTGCGCGACGCAAGTCCTTTGTCGTGCAAAGTAAAAAAACGTTGCCCTCCAAGGCAGTGACAGTAGGGTTTGCACGACGAAGAAGTAACATGCGTTGCGCAAAGACACTTTGTGCGACGAATGTTACTTCTTCGTTAAGCAAACCCTTGTTTTTTTTTTTTTTGGCAAAAATACTTTTTATTTAAATTTTTATAAATATTGTAATTAAATTATAAATAATAATTAATAAACCAAGAAAAAGTATTTAATTATAAAATATATGAAAATGTACATATAAGACGTCTGAACAAAAAAGAAAAAACTACAAGAAGTAGTCTTCTACGTTTGATACATCAGGCTACTGGGTATCGATTGGGCGAAGTGGCTGGGAGGTCGAAAGTGGAGCAAGATCAGGTGCTGGCATCGGGATTTGAAGGCCGGACATCTGTATAGCCCGAAAGATCATATTCATCTTATCGTCCTGGGCCGATAACTGGGCTGCAATCTCGGCTTCCCGGGCTGCTTCTTGGGCCGCAAGCTGACCTTTTAGGGTTGCCATTTCCTCCATTAGGGCTGACCTGTCCTATGGTCGATCTGGAAGATGAGGCACCCGTCTCATGAACCCGTGCCTTCCCCATACATCGAAAAAACTTAAATTTAGGACATGTAAATCAGACCCTACTCTAACGTCAAATTTAGGAAAATAAACAGATGATAAGAATGAATTATGATACAAACCGTCAAATCTCTACTCTTCCCATATACATTTTGTCCATATAATTTCCGTCTCTTTATCCGAGGCGTGCATCAAGTACAGATAATTCATAACTCAATGATTTTAAACCAAAGTGAGGAAATAAAGTGCATGTGTTTTCCACTATAACAAGAAAACAGTTCAATGAAAAATTCGGACATTGATGATAAAATGTAGTATAAATAGAGCATGTATAATAAGTTATTAACTGATTGCCATTAGGAAAAAATTATGACTTACATGGGTACCGTCACGACCAGCTAAGGGAGTCATTGACACCAAAAGTCATGGACACAGTTGATCACCTACACCGTCATCACATAACAATAACACCAAAAACCACAGAAGGTTCCACATTGCGGAGAGTTTTTTGGTTTTTGATTCTCGAAATGGTATATCATATGGTCCAGTAGTAAGCTCCAAAGACACAAGTGCAAATGAATTATGCAACTACCACGTTTTTCAATGGCTACTTTTTAAGGGGTGGTTTGGTAAACTGAAAAAAAATAGCTTATTTTGGAAGCTGCTGTGAGAATAAGTTGAAATCAAAGGAAAAAGCTGAAGCTGCTATTTGCAGCTTTGGAAAACTAGCTTTTTTTCAAAGCACACGGAGCTACAGTGCTCCTTTAATGAAAAGACCCACTATCAGACTGCTTTTTTTTTTTTCCAAAAACACTTTTACAAAAAAGTTTACCAAACACTCTGCTGATTTATTTCACAGTTGCTTATTCTCACAGCACAGCCGTTTATTCTCACAGCAGCTTTTTTTTCAAAGCACAGCAATACCAAACCAGCCCTAAGTGTCATCAACACCAACAGTTTTAGTTACACACACACACACATGAAATGGAAATCCTACGATAGGGTTTAATATAAATTGAGGTATAGAACTGATCACATTTGGAGAAATTTGAGCCGCTAAAAATTATTATGCACTTAATATAAACACTGCATTCACAAATGAGAAAGCACACGAGTGTAGTGTAATGTACTAAAGAATTATTTGTAGAGTTTTCCAAAAGTGTCTCTCAAGAGAGCAACATCAGCACCAACAACTTCAGCCACCTTCTTCCCGTCTTGAAAGAGATGGAATGCAGGCTGCACCAGAGTACACACATCAAATTACGAACCAAATGGATCTTGGATTTTACCATATCCAAGTAAAAACATATAGAATTACTAAGAAGCAAAACCAGTAATAATCCATTCAAAAGACCATCCTAAAAAGATCATCCCACGAGTGCCATGAATAAAAGAAGCTATATACGAAGAACAAAATAAATTGGAGCATTTTCTTTTAAACATAATAAGAGCAATCATTTACCACAGCGGAAATATTCAACTTGCCCAAAGTGTTTGTAACTCCTTCTTGTATATAGAATAAACAAGGTTAGGTATGAATTTAAAAAAAAATCATGCTCCCAAATTAAAAATAAATGAAATTACATTCAAACTAGCTAACCATTACATGCCAGATAGCTATAAGCCCACAAGTATAGTTATTGCTAAAACTAACTTGAGAATTGAAACCCGTAACAAATAACTAGATTTCATAAATACCAACACTTAACATATAACTAGTTTCCATAATAACTAGATTCCTATGCGAATGCGCACCTCATCGATGTCAATCTTATATGTTGTTACATGTGGGTATTGCTCACTCAACTCTCCAATGACTGGAGATATGAACCTGCCTGCACAAGAGATCACACCAAGTACCAATTTCAAGTTCAAAACACATAATTACACCACATTCCGTGCCAATGACTTCATTGCTTAAAAGAAAACGTACTTCGAACTTACAAGGCCCGCACCAGACTGCAGTGAAGTAGAAAAGTGCTGGCTCATCTCCGTCTATATGAAATTTAACATATAAATCACATAATTTGCATAAATGTTTGATAAGTTTTCTCAAAACAAAACAATTTCGAAAACCCAGAAAAATTACCCTTAGCTTTGCTGATTGCGCTGTTGTATTCATCCTCTGACTTAATGACAACAATGTTTGAGGAACCTGAAATTCAAGTCAATCAAGAACTCAATTTAATGAGCTATTCCAAAACCCAAAATTCAAAAATTGAAACATTGAACAATGGCTAAAACAATAACAAAAATACAGATTACCTGAGGGCGAGGAGAGAGGTCGGAGCTGCAGAAAGCAAGGGTTTGGGGAGTGGTGTATTAACTACAGTGCAGAAGATGGAATTGGTACAGAGGAAGAGGAAGAAGTAGAGAGAAACAAGAGAGAATCTAGAGAGAAAGTGAGTTTAAAGAGAGAAATATGCTTTTGTATTGATTGATTAAAAATGAAGATTACACATACTGTTTATAAAGAAATCATAACTACTTTAACCAAATACTAACTACCTAACTATATTACTAACTGTATTACATTTGTTCCCTTAATACTCCCTCTCAATCTCAACTGGGGTAACCCAGTTTAAGATTGGAAGACCAACTGCAATCTGTCCTGCAACCTGTCCTGCCTTTGCCCCCTTACCAAAAGCACCATTTAACCACGCTGTTACATACCTGCTTGTTTGGACAGCTAACCATGTATCATTCAATTTTCTCTGTTGAAAATATTGCTGCCATTGTTTAATATCAACAGACTTCACTTTCTCATTAACCACGAAAATGCCTACTGTCAATTTCTCTGTAAGCCCTACTTTCCTGTAAAAGGAAATGGCCTTCTCTGATGCACTTGCTATTAACTGATGCTTTTCATCAAATGCTTTAACCTTGTTCACGACATCTTGTCCAATAGCCGAACCCTTTGCAAACATAAGTGATTGTCCACACCAAATGATACCTTGTTTCCTAAATATATTCACTACCTCACCACAACGTAATTTTACAATTCCCTGCAAACCAAGCCTTTCAACAGCTACAACTCTAATGAACTAATCTTTTCAGAAAACATGGCTTCGTGCCCACAAACTTCAATCAACTAATCGATACAGAAAAATGGCTTAGGGACAAACAAAAAAAAATCAATCTTGAAATGGCTTCGGGCCGTAAACAAACAATAATGGCTTCGTGCCGCAAACAAAGAATAATGGCTTCGTGCCCAAACAACAAACAATCCTGAAATGGCTTTGTGCCCAAAGAAACAAACTTGAAATGGCTTCGTGCCGCAAACAAAGAATAATGGCTTCGTGCCTCAAAGAAATCAATCGACTACTTCACAAAATCAAAGAATCATACACTTTTGCAGGGAATTGGCAGTTCCACCAGATCATCAAAGTAGTGGAACAGAGAATAGAACATGAATCAAATAACACCAGAGAAGCACAAAGAGCTGATATGCATACAACACCAAAAAGAGACCATAATCTGACAGAGTCCAAGATCCCACTTTCCAATCAGCACCGCAAAACCACAAAAGAGAAATTCCCAGACGAACAACCAAAAAGAATCACCACCGAATCAGCTGAAAAACTTTCTTAGATGCCATCTCAGATACTAAAACCAAGAAACCAAATTAACCAATCTTCCCAGATACTAACACCAAAATTAACCAAGAAACAAAATATAACCTTCACATGAAAAATCTTCACAATTAACACATAATTCCTCACTGAGACAATCAAACAAACAGTTGGAGTGCATAAAGAAAGATGAAACCTGAATATTTAGTTCTTGATCGAAAAACGCCCAGAGAAACACCAGAAATCATCGACCATTACATCTAACACAGCGGATGTAGTACCACCTAGGACCAAGACCTATCTTGCTATTGGAACCCAGCAAGAACAAAATTGCGTATGAAATAACACTTGCACTTGAGCATTTGCTATTCTGTTGAGAGCCCATGTGATGGATTCTGATCGAATTTCCAATACCCCAATTGAAATTGGCGAGGTCAGCAACGACGTCTTCCAGATAAAGTATTCGATGGTGGTGGTCTACAAAACTCAAAAAAAAAACATCAACTTGTGAATCAAATGTTGGAAATGTTCCCTAAAACCAATCATATGATGATACTTTACGGACATTTCACAAGTTAAACTAATGTAGTTTAAATATAAAGGGCAAAGGTTGTTGTTTGAGCCGTCTCATATAAATGTTATATGCTTAAACGATAAGTCCAAGGAATATGTAATTAGGAGAATGTAATTTAAAGAAGTTAGATTCATGAGACCATTCTCTTTCATATACATATCCTAAACGTTCTTGATCATAGGATTGCCAATTGGGCATCGACAGTCCGTTAAGATCGGTACGTGCTGTGTCTTCTCTCAGGGAGAGTGACTAGTCTCGAGTCATTGGTGTGTGTGACATCAAGACAAGTACGTAGGTGCTCAATAGAGAATGAGTTCACTGAACACGATCAACGAAGAGTTCTCATATTCATGTCACATGAGAACTCATGGTTGGGATAATGCAAAGTAGTCCTTTGACCTGAGGCATCATAGTTGTCTTGTGGTTAGGTCCTTGATCTTTGATTATGTCAAAGTCACTCCATTCGAGGGTGTCCACGACATAGTTGGGGTTAAGCCACTTAGCCATGGAGGCAAATGAATGCGCAACAAGGGATCTCTAACCTTCAAACCGTTTGAGGGAGAATACTCTATGATATGATTTAGAATCTCTGGCCAGAGTATGAATGAGATTTAGGAAATCGTTCCAAATCACATTCAAGGTAATCATATAAGCACACGAATCACATTGGATAGTAGACATGAATAAACTATCAAACCAAACAATGTGGTCAAGAGTATTGTATTAGAGAAAGACCGTATTGCATTTGTAATCCTAAACTGAATAGGTTCTCCACCTCTTCTGATTAGCTTGGGTAACCATGATATGCTGCTAGGTGTCACTCATGGTTTGTGGAAGCCCTAAACGTGTATAATCACTAAAGGGAGAATTGAAAGTAAGTTTCAATTCACAATCGATTTGAAATGGTTTTAATCGCCCACTGCCTCGCTAAAAGGAACCTAATGGATCGTACACCGTGTAAGGTGGAGATTGAAGAAACAATGGAGATGAGTAAGAATAATTAAATGGTTTAATTATTTATGGCAAGGATTAATTAATATGTTAATTAATCAAACGAATAAGTTCGTTAAAGACCTCGGGATAGTTTTGGACCTTAAGGCCCAATGGGCTTCGAACGTCAAGCCCATTGACTTAAGTTGTATGACAACTTAATGAATAATGATTCACAAAGGCCCAATTAGCCCAAAAATACCCTAAGGCCGGCCATTTAGAGATGGAGTGGGTTTTGGACTTATTTACAAGTTTGCCACTCCAATGAATTAAGGTATAAATATGACTTTATAGCCAAAATTCATTTAGGGTTTCTTTTGGAGAAAATTGGAGAGAACATGTTTCTCCCTTTCTCTCTAAAGAGGCCGGCCTCCTTGGAGGGTGTAGTTAGCAATCCTACTACTCCAAGGTCACTCATTTCTTCTCCAATCTAACCTTGGTGAAGATACTTAGAGGTTCTCAATTTTGGGAACTTGGAGAACTTTTTCATCCATCCAAATCCATAGATTTTAGATGCAAGGAATGAAGGCCCTCTCTTTGGGTGATTAGCCTTTGCTTATGCAAAGAGGAATCTACAAAGGTATAAATTTCAACTCACATGCTTTTGAGTTGAGTCTTGGTTCACCAATCTACTAGGCTTTGAATTTCATGGGTAATGTTTTGTTTTTGAGTGCATGCAAGCATGATTCCGCCTTTAATTGTTAATTGCATGCTATATGATGTTACTCAAATGAACATGTTTTCACAAAATAATCCTTCATCAAATTGGCGAGGTCGGCGACGACGTCTTCCAGATAAAGTATTCGATGGTGGTGGTCTACAAAACTCCAAAAAACATCAACTTTTGAATCCCAGAGAAACCCACTTCGCCTTCACCCTTCTTCTTATCATCCATAGTCTTTGCAGTCTTAGTTGTCACGAATTCACCATCAGAAACAAGACCCACCTCGCAATTTCCCATGAAATCTTTGGCAACTGCATCAGATGCAGGAAACCCAAAAATTAAATCCAAAGATACGAGCTTTTCATTTGCAGAATTGGGAATTTCTTGAATTTCTTGAACAATCGCGGAAGCATCGAAAAATCTAAAGAAAATTTGAGGTGAAACTAAACTAGAGAAGGAAAAGAAAAATACAAACTACTAAGAAGTGGAACCACCAGAATCCATGGCGTGAGCCTGGTGGCTCTGATACCATATTAACTACATTGCAGAAGATGGAATTGGTACAGAGGAAGAGGAAGAAGTAGAGAGAAACAAGAGAGAATCTAGAGAGAAAGTGAGTTTAGAGAGAGAAATATGCTTTTGTATTGATTGATTAAAAATGAAGATTACACATACTGTTTATAAAGAAATCCTAACTACTTTAACCAAATACTAACTACCTAACTATATTACTAACTGTATTACATTTGTTCCCTTAATATGGTGGAGGGAATTGGAGGCGGAGGTGGTGAGGTGGGGATTGAAGAAGCTAGGGTTTGGAAAGAACTGGAAGGAAGGCTATGACGATGAAGAAGCGCGGCGCAGGACTTGCTGCGATTGCCGTGCCATGGCTACTATAAAATGCAAAAAAAAATTCAACAAATTGTCTTACCTTTAGATTGGAGTGGCGAAGTGAGCACTTAGCAGCTAGTGGTGGAGGATGCGACTGGAAGGGGGAAAACGATGGTGATTGGCAACTTGGTGAGCGGTGACTGGTGAGAGGCCGTGCAAGAGAGCTTGGGAGGTGGAAGGAGAGGACGCCGCACCTGGTCTTTAGGGTTTCGTTCAGCCTTTGCGATTCTGCAACAGAGAGAGATCGACTGAGAGAGAGGGAAGAGAGACCGACTGTTTTCCAATTGCACGGTTTGCACCTCCATTTTGTCCAAAGTCATTGACTTTGCCCGACGAAGGTGTACATTCGTCGCAGAAACTTCTTTACGCGACGAAGGTGCCCCTATGTCGCGCAAAGCTATTTTACTTGACAAATGCACACCTTCATCGCACAAAGAACGTTTGTGTGACGCAGCCTGTGCGTCTTGCAAGATTTTGGAAAATTTAAACAAAGCGCATATTTTTTTACAATTAAACAGCTAAAATTTTAACACATTGCATGATGCATGTATACATTAAGATGTCGTGCAAAATTGGTTTGCGCAACGACACATCATGGAGTCGCGCAATTTATATATAAAAAAAAATTTATTATAAAATTTACTGAAAATGTGACTTTACTATCTTCAAATTCAATTTTTTTTTACATAAAACCCACAGTAATATATTTTTCTAACAAAAACCCGATCTGAACTACAATAATAAATTTAAAGCTACTTAATAAATATACACACACACACACACACACACACACACATACCACTCAACTTGTTGGGATAAATACATACACACACACACCATTCAACTTGTTGGGATACGCATTCTATGAAACTAGTTTCAACGATCGAACCGTCAAAATTGTTTGCATATGCTTCGAGATCGCATATGCGAAAAATCGCAAAAAATAAACATTCAAAGATTAAGTAATGGGACAAAAGTTTTTCGACGGTTATAAACGAAAAATCATGATTTAATGGTAGTTTTAACTTCGATTTTGATGATTTTTTATAGCTATACTCTTTGATCCTATAAAACAAAATCTTATGTTATACATAATGAAGGTATAAATAAACTTCAAGTGTTAGTGAATCTATTGTTTTGATGGGATACGCATTGTACGAAACTAGTTTCAACAATCCAACCATCAAATTCGTTTGTATATACTTCGAGATCACATACACAAAAAATCATAAAAAA